TTGAGTACATATCTTGCATTTGAATAACGAAACTCCTTAAATCGATGAATTGCGGCGGTTCATCAAAGGACAGCTTTCAAGGGTTTAAAATACCTTCAGTATTGATCAGAGTATCACCATCAAGAGATCAAGAGCTTCAACTATTCTCCTGCATCAATCATAAATATTGTAGAAGAATATATCCACCTGGATTTGAACAAGTTGAAATTCTAAGACTTAGATCTACCAAATTTCAGAAGTTTATCGTCGACTGACAACACTGAGCCCAGAGGTGACAAACTGAACAGCTTGAATAGGTAGGTTAACAGTGCTAAAGGACTTTCCGTTCATATAAGCTTTTGCTACATCGGCGAGGTGCGAAATACTGAAAATTGGATCTTAGAAACTGACTCTGATAGGTTAAATGAGCCAAATGAGTATCGCTCGAAGTGGTAGATTTTTCAAGTTGGTTTAATTGTAATTCACTATTTAATCATGTGTTTTCATTTAAAATCATGCGTGTAACGGTCAAAGTAGCAACGTAGAGGCCGTAATTAGCCGAAGAGGCTTCTTCTCTCCCAGTTGCCTTTATTCAATCGTGATTAAAATTAATGAGTCCTGTGTCTTGTATTACAATTCTTTTGTACATATTTTTAAAATACCATTCTCAGCTCCGCTAAGTTCACTGTCGACTAACTAGTGGTCTAGAGCGAACATTTCGGGGGCAAAAGCGGCGCTAAACTTTGTTCGCATAAGCTTTCACTTTTAGCGCATATTGTTCGAATAAAGAATCGAAACGTTAAGACAATACCAAACTTTACGTTTCATTTTGTAACTTACTGAAAAGAATATTAGAACAAAGCAAAAGCACTTTTCAAGAGTTTTAAGTTGAATGGTCACACTTAAGCTTTCATCAAGATACCTTAAACATGAGCAAGTGAGTTTATTTCTCCACTCCGTCTATGATTTAAGGTAAGAATTCAGTTTCCTTTAATGTTGCTGATAAATTCATTTCTTTACATTTTTCTCCAATATAATTAGGTATATTTACATTCTGATGAAGTTCTCTCTCTCTTGAAATGGAAGCATTTTATGGATATTGGTGTAAGTATCTTATTTAAGATAGCATAATTGACCATTGTTTATAGATAAAAATAGCTATTGTAGCGTAGCAACCAGTAATGATCTAGAGAACTGATCTGATATGAGGTGGTGTAGTTAAAGCTAAGAGGGCAACACATTGAATCATCCAAACTACAACAATGTGTGGAATTTTCCACAAGCAAGCAACCTTCAAATATTTATTTTGAGATAAAGTCAGTCATAATATAAATGCCTAAAACCGGCGAACTTTGCGCCTCGTATATAAGCGGATATCTGAAAACTGAAAAATTTGACATGCGGAACCCGGAATCTAAGCCGGTCTCTGGAATCTTCAATCTCAATCCCACTTATGAAATACTGAATCCAGACACTGGAATTCATATTTCGGGACGCTAGTAGTCGGGTACGTTCACTCTGAGGTGATTATTCTTTGCCAAAATAACGCAGCTCAATACAAACAAGGGTATTACAGAGTGAGACTAATGGTCTGGTTATCCCCTCTCGATTTTATTGTCGAAATAATAATAATAATAATAATAATAATAATAATAAATAATACGATGAATAAATATTAATACTTTTCGCACAGTTGTTTCCCCCTAAAAGTTGCAGAGGCACGTATCCAGTGCCCTTAATCTTAAATCTGAGATTCTCTCACATGACTGAACACTAGGAGCCGACTACACATCTTTATTATGCTTTCAAAACGATACTGAACCCTAAGTTGTACCAAGAAAGGATTTCTCTATCAAAGTGAACTGGAAATAACTTGCTTGCAGAAACACTATAAAAACTGATTGGACTGTGAAATTGAAGTCAATGCACGAGTCTCGCTCACGAGCTATATACTTAGTTCAAGTTTATCAGGGAGAAAAATCATCTGTATGCACTTCACTTGTTTTCAATCCTCTATTACGATTTGTGTGGACAGCAGTCATGGACAACATGACCTGAGGGGACAGGGAATGACGGAATCTCCCCATCATTCCGCGCGCACATCTCGTTCAGTTCTGCCCACTGTGAAAACTTTGAAGTACCACGCATACCTCACATATCGAATGAAAGTCCATCCACAGTACCTTTTCACACTGCTTATAGGTTAGTCTTAGAAATTTTTGACTTTCTTTTCCACCTTAGCGGTAATTACTAGTAGGTTATGTATCGTTGTTTTTCTCATATTTGATCTCTCTCTCTCCTTTCCCTCTGGACCAATAGCTGATTCTCTCTTGTCTAGACTAGATGCCCTTGTGCTTTTCAATTATTGTTAAGCCCTCAGTTTGACGCGTTAAGATCTCTTTTTATCTCCATGGAAGTGGATAATAATAAACATCAAAGTTTTTAAGATCTTGAAAACGTAGGCTATAGGAAGTCTCTTCTGGCTGCGAAGAAATGTGACGTAACGGGGCCATATAATTAAGTAGTTCCCATTCCCTCTCGTTCTTAACATCTACGATTTCATCCACATATGCACCGTTTGAAATCTCCCGGATGTAGATACGTGTTGGACCCTAAAACAAAAATAGATTGTTTGGTTGTTTTAAGAATAGTTATATTTGAAGTACTACTTAACTGGTAATTGAATTTGAAATGCCGTCACATCTCAGCGGGAGCCTCTACATGAGGAGGAGAGAGGTCACATCTGAATCTTAAGTTAGGCTTTTGTGAGGGTATCCACCGGAGCAAGAAAAAATTGACAAAGTTCCTCTTCGTTGCAATATCATGATAACATTCCGTTGCAATGAAAGTGTAGTACACAAATTTCAACTGGAGCTTTTTTCTCTTCCCTCCAATAATTATTTTTTCTGACATGAAAGGCTATACTTTGTCAGAACGAGAAGTCCAAAGACTACTGCCAAGCTGATTCAGAACAACGTGTATTGTTTTTTCAAAACAATATTTCGGCTGGCCATACCAGCCTTCTTCAGGTTTACAGATGTTACTGAACTTAATACGTATGAGAATGTCGCAATAAAAATTGTTTAAAAAGCAGAGGCGGACATGACGTACAACACAAAAACTAGAAAGAAAAAAACAATAAGGATATAGATTACAACAATTCGTCACGGCGGTTTAGGCCATGAGGTTCAAGAGTCATGGCCTTATCTATCAAATGCGACTCTCGGGCCTTACGAACTGAGTCACGTGAAGACCGGGGGAGGGACTCCGCATATGAAAGGGGTGGGGATGCTTGTCTGATATTGATATTGTGATTCTTACATAAGTTCAGTAACATCTGTGAAGAAGGCTGGCATGGCCAGCCGAAATATTGTCATGAAAAAAACAATACACGTTGTTCTGAATCAGTTTTGCAGTAGTCTTTGGACTTCTCCTTTTTGGTTCTTTATATTTTGGCTGATTAGATCTCTTTTCTAGAGATCCAACGTTTAAACTAGCAGGACCTTCGTCCACGGTTTTTGCAGTTAATTTAATCCTTTTATACTTTGTCACCAGTTTTCAAACTGATCTGATTGGGATTTTTTTACGGCCAATTTAGTAAAACTGCATGACCAGATTCCTACGGTGTTAATTACACCTTTTTTGCATGCTCCCGTGTTGCCACATTCTCGTTCCCGGAGATTCGATCCTTTTGATCAGCGTCCAAAAGGATTGAATCTCTGGGAACGACAAAGGTGTTGCCGGGGCACGATTGCACTATGTCGAGGACGCGTATAAAGAATATGGGGCGCATGATAGGCCAAGAGGCTAAGCAAACAACTGTAAAATGGTCTTTTGCACGTCCTGAATACGTATTTTTTTTTGTCACATAGTTGAAGGTAAGTAGTTTAGTTTGTCACCTGTGATCCAAGTAAGTCGTCGCACTTCTTTCTCGAATTTATCGTTTCCCGCATGCTACTTTCCAGGCTCACATTTCCAGATGACCTTACATCATAACTGCGGTGGCTCTCATTTTTTGAAGTATCTACGTCAGTCATATTATTCCTTTTTTTCTTTCTGTTGTACAATACTTTGTTCTTATTTCCAATGTCCTTCTTTGTTTCGTGGTCCTCTTGAAATCTTGATCTAGATCTACGACAAACAAGAAAAAAACAAAGAGAGCAAAATTTTACATAAAGAGTGACTAACAAGCCCCGAAAGGCCTTGTCCACCCGGTGAACCTAAGTTGCTTCCAAAATATGTTTTAAACTGGGTTTCTGAGTCTGCTAACCATAAAATTCTCAGTGTAGGTCCCAGGGATTTTCTCTTTAAAAATGGCAACGAGGCTGTCTCTCGCCTCAAATTTTACCAATCAAAAGTAAGGCTTTATGGTAACAATTTGTGTCTTGTTGTCGAGAGCTTTCCAGCACTGCATATGGCATACTGGCAACTACATTTGCTGCCGGTTATAACATTGTTTACAACTGGCTGGAGAATTATTTCTTTACAACCTAGCCTCCGTGTCAGGCGTCGAAAGGGAGGGAAATTTGGTCGGGATACCGCGCTGGAGGAATAAGAGAGAAGGGGAACTCCCCGTCATGCGCCTTTCTCGCTTCTCGCGCTGCCGGAATCCCCTTCCTCTTTCCTTTCAAAAGCCTGCCACGCAAGCTATTTACAACCTAAAGTCGGAACAACTCTACATGCAACTTACTGATTTAGCATTCCTCTGTAAAGAGCATATCTCTTCACTGCCGCACTATGTTTGCAGCGAGAAGTGAAGTTCTCTTCTGAAGCTTTTGTCATTTGCTCTTCACTTTTAGACTGTACTGTTTTTCCTAAGTGGTAGGTCTGTTCCTTTCCACTTGAAATCTCACTTTCTTCATTCATTTTTTCTCCTCTCAAAAAAGAACGATAGACTTTTGCTTCTCGCGACATTCTGGATGTTGGTTTTGCACCTTGTTTCGAGGGTGATAGGACTGTAGCAGGAAAATGAACTTTTTTCTTGTCAATATTCGAAGCAAAACACCAGTCGCTACCAGTTTCTTTAAAGCGTGCAAATTCTAAATGCCTCACGCACGCGCTCCTAGGTACTCTCTTGTCTGATGTCATCCGTTGTGACATACCACTGGTAAAAATCCACTATTTTATCTGCTGGTAACAGGCGAATGGGACAATTCTTGCTTCCTCGTGTTTTTGCGAGACGTTCATTGTTACGGTGCATAATTCCCCATAAAACTATCTGACATTTTTCTAAGGCAAAAAAAAAAAAACGAAATGAAGTAATTACTTATTAACAACCTCAAATTACTACGTCATTTTTGAAATTCCGTAAACTCGTTACCAGGGCCCCTCTAAGTTCGAATAAGTAGCCCTACGTGCTAGTTTCAGAATATGAAAGGTTTGAACCCAGGAGTCATTTCATAAGTAGAATGCTATAATGGCAGACGTGATTTGAGCCAAATAAACTATAACTAGTGTACCTAACAGGTAAAAGATTGTTGCCCTGGTGCATCGTCCAATTTGTTAGGTTTGCTAGCGAGCGCAATTAGAATCCTTTGTGTGTAGCGTTTGTGAAGCAATAGGCCTTTTGCACCAGTTGATCACGTGATCAATTTTCTGTAAGCCCGACGTGATCAACTTTCTGTAAGCCCGAAAACAGTTCTCTTTTAACAAGTTTAAAAATTTCAAAATTTACAACGATTTGTATGCATGGAAAACCACTTAAGCTTGACAGCTAGGTGGCAAGAGTTGTTTTTCTTATACAAATCCCCCTAATATTCAGCGGCCGTTTCAATCGCTACTTTTGAGATATACGGCAGAAAATTTACAGGTTACCAATTTAATACGCTCTTTCAGTTCCTGCTAACAAACTTTATCAAAAGCGCGCTATTTTAGTGTTTACAGAAAGTTGATCACGTGACCAACTATTGCAAAATGCCTATAGTGTTTGTCCAGTCAGCAAAAGTTTTACACTGGTTTAACATTATCTTCTAGAATTATTGTGAAATGATAGTTTAATAAGACCACAGGTGTAGAAGATAATCAAAAAGACTTTAAAAGAATTACGAAACAAACACACATTACGTTCTTCGAGAGATTTCGACTCTTCGATAGCGGCAGACATAAACAAGAAGGTAATCACCGGCACATGCAGTGTGAAGTAATCGTTGCTATTCATGCCATGAAAAAGAAATTCATCACAGACACATTGGGCGCGCAAGGCATTGTGGTAAAAATCCGGTGCATTGTGGTTAAAAATCCAGACGCATGATCGTGGGTAGAAATCGAAAATTTTTGTCCCTGTGCAGATTAGGTTTGCGGTCTTGCTCGCTCGCGCGGCCGACAGCCGTGCTTACCACTTCATTGAAGAAGTGTGTTCAGCACCCACTCAATCAGTTACACGCTACAGCCGGTACCTTTTAACTTTTTTGTGCCACGTTCTCATTCCAAAGCTTCAAAGAGACATCTAAGTTTGACTTGAAAATCGTTGGTTTTTTTTTTTGTTTTCAAAAATTGGAATTTTTTTTCGAAAATCAGAGTTTGTTTTAAAAACTCGGAGTTTGAAAATAAGAGTTTGGTTTCAAAAATTAGAGTTGTAAATGGCAATTTTTTTCCGAAAATCAGAGTTTGAAAACCGAAGTTTGTTTTCAAAACTCGGAGTTTGAAAATCGGAGTTTGTTTTCAAAAATCAGCGTTTGTAAATCAGGGAGTTTGTTTAAGAAAGTCGGAGTTTGAAAATTGGAGTTTCACAATACAGTAGTTGAACCTCTCTAAGAAAATCTTGAATTCAGGATTTTGGAAAGCTAAAATCTTGAAATCGGCGAAAATCTTGAATTCACGATTTTGGAAAGGTAAAATCTTGCAATCGGCCAAAATCTGGAATTCAGGATTTTGGAAAGCTAAAATCTTAAAATCGGCCAACATCTTGAATTCACGATTTTGGAAAGCTAAAATCTTGCAATCGGCCAAAATCTTGAAAACAAAGCCCCCATTTTGCAAAATAAATTCCGATTTTCGAAAACAAATTCCAGTTTTCAACAAAACAAACACCGATTTCCAAGTCAAACTCAGATGTCCTTTTAAAACTTCCGTATTTGACTTTACCACCTCTTTGTGTCCCCATACATTTCGTCAAAAATCCGGTATTTTGCTTCCACTACCCGATCGAACACACAAAAACAAACAATATGACATAGAGGCATGCATGGGCGCGTCGGTTCAGCCAGACCCAGCGCACACTTTTAATTTTTAATTATAAGCTTACGTGCATTATATATCATCGTTACAGTAAAATGAATACGTCACAGCCGGATGTGCACGTAAACCCCCCCACCCCCTCAGCCCCCCCCAAAAAAATACAGGAAAAATAGGGACCGTGTAACCCCAACCAATGCTGTGGCGTCGCCTTGGGTGTTTAAGCCAATCTAATTGAAGCCGTTGTAACATGTATAGAAAACCGAAGGCTAATGATAATAACAGCAACTAAGAAGTATACGTCATATTACAACTGCGAAACGAACTAAGCCTAACAGAACAAACCAAAAACCAAATTTAACAACACAAGTTGACGCGGTGAGGCTGACCATAGAAAGACAGTAACTATTTCAAACCCCCAAATTGCGATACCTCGCGCGCAGCACTTAACCCCAGTTCTCCGTACCGTGCCATTGGCAAAATATTAATTTATGTCAATCCTGATGAACACAAATTACATTTTATCTCATGCAAATGATTAACTTTTTAGGTCTCTTTCTTTGCCCTAGATTCGCGAATCATGGGTGATCTCAGTGATCTATTGACCATGTTTTAGTTTTTGTTTTAGTTTTTCAAATATAAAATAATAAATACTAATTTGTATTTTTTTCGCTTTTACAAAACATCGTCTCTTTTCGTCCCAAAATTTTGTTATAGCTCTGCGTTGTTTTCAACTTATATCATGATTATACATAATGTGGAAACAGAGGATAATCTCGGGGGATAATCTGGCTTCGTCCCATGCCGGATGCATAAAATATCGCAAAAGAAAAGAGTTCCGCAGTGCCGGTGACTACAGTGTTTGGTTGTACTTCACTCAACCCACAGTTGTGATGTTTTATGGACTAAAACCCGACAAGATACACTCCCCCTGGAAATGTTGTAACGTAAATATTTCAGTTTAAAATACAAGAAATATCTTCTAACTAACCTTAGATTTCAAGCGCCGGTCTCTAAAACCTGCAAAATGAACGGAGATGCCAACAGTTTCCTGTTAAGCTCAACAATGAATTTTTTCTTTCGAATCAGTTCTTTCGTCTTTGTTTCTTACCAATTTCATTGACATCTGGTGTTTGATTTTCTTATGAATAAACATTCCCTTTGTGTATGCTTTGTTCCTTGGAAACACTAATGCAAAATTGTATGTTTTGTATAATTTTTGTTCCGAAACAATCGCTTTTCACCACTATTTACCCAAGGGACTTAATGAGATCTTTTGAGTGCTGTTTTCTAATTTTAACCTGCATTGTCGCACAATAAGAAAAACTAAAACGGGCAAAAATGTATAAATTTGAAAAATATAAGATTTTTCTTGGCTGGTCCGTCCAAGGGTCTCTTTTTCGATGGAAAAGCTCAGAACGATTCAAAATTCACAGTGTCAGGAAATTAGCAGAAGAGAATGACAGTATTATGAGTCCCTGGTCCCTGCACCAGATGGAAAGATGTGAAAGAGCAGGCGCCTATTCCTGCTTCAAGCTAACATACACACAGTCTTTTCATACGTAAGAATTTTGTTTTCCCAGCCCGGACTGAATATTCTTATTTTTCTGTGGATTTAGGCTGAGAATATTCTTGAATTATAGCTTATGGCTTACTTTCCGCTTTAGAATGTATTCTGCCTCCAGTTACCAGTGTTCTTTCCGTTTCAGTAAAAGGAATACAGTCCACTCTCTTTTAATGGACACCTCTGTGAAACGGACACCTAGAGTTGGTCCCTGCCTTTGTTTATTCCCTTTATTTGACTCTTTACAAGACGGACATCTCTCTAAGACGGACACTTAGTGCCGTTCCCAAAGGTGTGCGTCTTGAGAGAGTTGACTGTAATAGTTTTACCGTTAAGTTAAAAACATATAATTGCACTATATATACAGAATTTCAAACATAAAATTATATCCTTTTCAAAATCTTTGTCTCAGGTTTATTCTCAAAATATTCTAAAAAATTTCACAAATTTCGGCCTCAATATTCTTATAAAATATGTCCTTTAAAAAAGGAGTGTAACCTGAGAGCGTTTTCACATGACGTCACGTCCGCCATATTGGTATCGCCCCATATGAGGGAATCTGGGAAATGTTTGCTCGTGAAATCTGGAATTCGGGAAAAATTTGCATGTAAAATCCGGAATCGTAGGCTTTGGAATCCGGAATCCCTCTAGTGATTGGAACCCATAATCCAAGTTTCACTGACAAAGATTGGAATCCAGTACCTTCAACCTCGTCCCCAGGGTTGCAGTTTCTGGAATCCGGAATCCGTGACGTGGAATCTAGAATCCAAGACTGTCTTGGATTTTCTTTCATGGGACGATTGGTATCTCAAAACAATGAGACGGCAGCGATGTTGGTGTCCTAAACCAGTCCTGTGGGAGTTGAACGTATCGTTTTCCAATCAATTTAGGTTTCTGGGAAACTGCCCACCTACCCCTCCCCTAACCTAACTTTAGCACTTACTTCTCACTTTGGGCAAAATAATGGCTTAGCGGAGGGGTAGGTGGGCAGTTTCCCAGAAACCTAAATTGATCCTCGTTTTCTTATGTAGAAATTTCTGTGGTTCCAGATCAGCTATCACAGGAGCCCATCAAATGGAGCTTCCATCTCCATTAATTTCTTGAGTCAACCCTTTCCCGAGTAGATTTATTAATAGAACAGCTTGTTTCCCGCGAAAAGTGTCATATTTCCGTGAGTCTCGTATGTCACCGTGAAAAAAATGAAGTTGGATGAAGTCGAACTCAGAAGCCCGTCCTTCGACCGTTTTCCTTTTTTACTATACGTCCATTTTTACAGTTTTACAGCCGCTGGGATCTGGGATGAAATAAAAGTTAATGAATTACCCGACTGAGACTGAGCATGAAGCGATGGGACAAAGGCAGCTCCTGGCTCCTGGCTATCATTATTATCATCGTTTTTCCCGTCCTCCACCTCCTCCTCAGTCCTCCTCAGTCCCCCTCCTTCTCCTCAGTCCTCCTCGTCCCTCACCTCCTCCTCCTCCACCTCCACATCATCATCATCCGTAATCATCATCATCATCATTATCATCATCATTATCATAGTCATCATTATCGGAATTATCATTGATATTAAAACCTGGTACTGAAACTTTTGTTCTTTGTCCATCGTAGTTTGATAAAAAATAAACACAAACAGCGGTGATAAACATATTGTGAGTTTTCTTATTTTTAGAAACTTGACGTTTCATATGCTATTCAACATACATTTTAAAAGTGATCTTAAGTGACCGTTAAAGAAAATGACGAGACTATATATTCAAAAAATTACAAGGGTCTGGAAATGAGATTAAGAATTTATCAGATAATTATTACGACATCCAAAACTCAAGTTACGTGGCTTTTGTTCTTTGCAGATCGTGTTATAAAAGTTAGTCGAACTGGCTTTTTGATTTATTAAGGTACCGGAATTTTGAGGTCTTCCCAGTACTGCCCGAGGTTGAAGCTTTCCTTTTGGTCTTGCCTGCGAGATATGAAGGAGAGGCGCGAGGGAGAAAAAGCGAGGAAAAACATGAAGGAAGAAGCGGGGCTCTTCCCGTCACTCGTTTTATTTTTTTCGAGCTTTTTTTTACTTCGGGCCGCTTCTCTCGTGAACTATCTGAACGCTTAGCCTGCGTAGCAGGCGTCGAAAGGGGTAGGGGGTAGGGGATAGGGAGGAAGGGAAAAAGGGGAGGGGATTGGGGAGAGCCTTTCTCCCTCCCCCCCCCCCCTCCCCCTTTTGCGCCTGCCCCGCAGGCTATGAACGCTCGGAACGGATTATTTCATGTCTGTTATTGGTCCCTTTATTCAAATCTCAATACACCAATAAATTTCAGAGCTGGTCACCCTAGAAAGAACACTATTCAATTTACCGCCCTCAGAAACTTTACTTTCCTTATCAACTGAACTGAACTGCCATTTCAAGTCATTAGAAAAGGTTACCAGGGAAACAATTTCCTCTTACCGACTCTATGCGGATCAGACGATTTCATGCGTATTGATCAATATTCATCTTAAAATATTTCCTCAAGGTTTATGCTTCACCCCTTTTTATTGTTATCACTTATTGCAAAATTCGAAACTTTTTCTGTATCGTAGCCGTACTTCTCATATTTCACACTTCCGGTTCTAAAAATACCATTTGGTAACACGTCACTTCCACACTTCCGGTCATGGTATTCTTACGAAACATGACGAAAGAGGTGAATTCTTAATTTGTGAAAAGTGGTGCGCAAAAAATACACTTTTAAGTGTATTGTTTTGAATAACAGTCGAAACATTAAAATGTTTCTTTGCCGGTTATCAAACAATTATCTTGCTTTGTAATTTCGATTAATTTTTTTAGTATTCATTCATAGGTGATTGGAAAGTAATTCGTTGCAATTTCTAAGTGTGGCAATTCAAATATGATGAGACAAGCCTGAAAACTGCAGTAAGTTACGAAAGAACAAAGAATCAAGTCGAAACAAATTGCGAAAGTTTTGTTGCTGTCCTCAGCTGTTCATGTCGTAGCCTGCGAACACAGATGTATTTCCGGTCGTCGCTTCTCTCTACCTGAAAAATGTTTTTCGGGTGGAGAGCCTCCCACGCAGTCGTTCTTAAGGGTTCTTCACGCGTTCCTGCCCCATTAGAACGTCTACGTGTTAGGCAAGTCAAGCGACGACCGGAAATACATCTGTGTTCTTTTCATGAGTTGTGACCGTCATGAGGTCAGCGGTAATTTAAGCATGCGCAATGAGGGCGCCAAAAGCGTATTAATTTACCCCGATTGTTGTCGATTACTTTGTACTAATTTAGTAGCGTTTTTTCATCTGCGAAAGTTTCGGAAGCTTTTAACGGAATACTTCTCTTTTGGTATATTCTATTTGGTTAAAGCAAGGCAATTTGATTGCAAAGGAAGATTTTGAATCGCGTTTTATTTTGAGGTAAGTTTTGTCCTTTTGGCGGTTACCTTCCTCTGATATGAAAATGGCGTTTGTGCGATATTTTGCTTAAAGCTTTTTATCGCTTTTTGGTCTAAGTGTCTCATGCAGGGCGTTTTCTCTTCGAATTTCATAATGCCAATGAATTTTGCTAAAGAAAACTAAGCACGTAGAAGTTTATGTTTTCTCACAATTTAATTCGCTTGAAATTTAGTGTAGTTTTTATCCCTCAAATTTTATCTCTACTAACTTCTTTATATGACGCAAGGCCTTTATAATTTGGCTCCTAAACGCAAGAGTGGACAACGAAAATTATTTTAAACTTTGGTTATTTTTTATCCAAAATATACTTTTCTCTAAACAATTGGTCTTGTCGAGGACATGACCAACGGAATGGAATTGGAGAAAAAGTATTGAACTGAACACAGAAGCATCGATCGTCAAACAAAAACTGCTTTGAAATTAGGAGAGTGTGATCATTGTTAAACATAAGCTGAAGTTCAACTACCGAGAGATTTGCCAGCAAATTCTCTTGTTAGCGGAATCATTTCATACTTAATTTCGATGACTGAATGTTGGAAAGGAGCAGAGAACAGCCAGGGATAGTGAAAAACTGAAGAAATTCTTGAAGAGTAAAGTCTATTGCTTGGTGATCCAGGGCGAGCGTTTTTATTGTTCTCGAATCCTTCGGCGCAAAATTAAATGTTGATTGTGTAGTTTTATTTCTGAAAAGATTTGCCTTTGATTCTTTCAATCGAAATTCTTTAACCTCAATTTCCTTCATCGGAATTAATAGATCAGACTTGCTTGAACCTCACGTTGTTCCTGCAATGTTACCATTTAGGCCTTTTCTGTTTACTTCGTTTATTTGTAGAAAATTCTATCCAAGCTAGGGATTTTGATAATATTATATCTACTCAGTTCGAACTGGCCCTGCTAGTTGTCTAGGAGAGATGAAAATTTGAAATTATTGTTTTAAGCTTGTGAAAAACCTAATGATATCCTTCTGTAGCAAAAATTCTCCTGTAGCTCTGTTCCGAGCAAATTAGTGGGTAGCAATGCAAAAGTTCACTCATTCACTATCTTTTAACACCCTTCTATGGTGGTTGTTTCTTTTCACTAATGACATATTCACAGCATAACACATGATAAATATGGCTGCACTTTCTTTACCCTTGTGTACTACCCTCAAGACTTGATATGTTAGCCAAATGAGCAGAGTTCATGTTTATGCCTTGAAGATTTTCTTTGTATGCAGATTGTACTCCTTAGCTTTCATGAACACTCAAATGCCTGCAAATTCTAAGCACATATTTCTTCTTGTAAATGGGAAGAGCAAAAATATTGTAAGGGCTATTTTTATGGATTTTCTTCTTTTGTGCTCTTCTTGATTATTTCATTATTTTTATCAATTTTGTTGCACAGCACTGGTACAGGAGAGATTGAAGTCCAAATTCCAGTACTTCTCACAATCAAACACCCTGGAAATTGCTGTTTTTGGCTATTTAAACTAGAGAATAATTTTTGAAGAATACAGCAGAACCCCTGTAACTCGAACTTCTGCCCTGCTAACTCAAACTACATGTAAGTCCCATTTCCCTTAGATTTGAATGAATCTAATTTTCAGTCATTTTCACTTGGATAACTCAAACTCGGATGACTCAAACTCCCCGCTTACTCGAACTAATTAAATTACTTTTCCCTTGATCAAAATTTACCTTGATAACTCAAATTCTGGTTCTTGCCACTCACCACACTCACCATGAATGCCTTTCCTTTAGCTCTTCTTGCTGTGTCAGGGCTTGAAATTAACTTTTTGGATAACTAACCCTTTGGGTTAGTGGGATAAATTTTTCTTACCAAATTATAAAGTTAATTATCCAAGCGTCTGTTCTTGAAATAACAATATTTTAACTATTAAATTTAGTGCTAATAAATGGGGCAAAGTAATGTATGGATGGATTAATTCAAATTACATGATGATCTGCAAAACAAAATAACATAGAAGATAGTCTATTTTTAGTGCACATTTACATTTTCCTTTCAATTACGTTACGCAAGGGCGGGAAATTCACCATAAACACTGCAAAATGTTGTTTGTTTAGAATCATCGAACTGCAGCCAGGTAAATGCCTTTTCGAATTCTTGGTAGAAACTTCTTTTATTCTTCATGTGCCCTTTTTTGTGTGGGAGCCTTCTGTAGTGCTTGAAACTGTACTTCTTCTTTGTCATTATTCTCGATCCTCTATTTCTTCTTCACAAATTTCAGGCGGCAACCTTTTCCTGAAATTACAATCCAAGGATCTCTGTATCTGATCTGTACAATAAATAGGTTGTACGATGCGAACAAACCACTTGCAAAAGATATATTAAGGCTGTGTCCAGATCTCCCCATCCAACAGAAGCCTGGTTATCTTGTGTTCAATGAAATGCGCGTTTTTCGTGTTGTTTGATTATGCTTGTAAACATATCTTTTAGAACAATAAACTGTTCGAGAGAGATAGAACAGAATGTTATGCAAAAAAGAAACAAGTGTAAGATTTTCAATCACAGAAATTTTTACTAACCGTGTTGGGATAGTAAGGCTCATTTTTAGTAACCAAATGTTAGAAACTACTAATGGTTGGTTAATGGGTTACCATTATTTTTGAGGCGTGTGTGTAATCGCTGAAACCCTAAAAGCACTAAAACTAACACTACAGCAATATTTGTTTTTAATAAGTGCGACGAGCAGTTCATGTGTTTGAAAGTAATTTCCCTGTATTATCATAAAACTGCATAATTGTGTTATAATCCCTGATGAAATAAGTTTAATTTGTACTCTGCCATAATTCTGAAGTGCTCAAATATCAGTTATCTGTCATTTATTAACATTGCAAATTGAAGATTCGATCGACCCTGATAACTCGAACCCTCGCTAGGTCAAACTGTTTTTGGTTTCCCTGCTGAGTTTGAGTTAACGGGGTTCTACTGTTAAGCACAAATGGTGGTTGTGTGTTGAGTTGTCTGGTGTACCGTTTGCAAGTCATCTTGCACTTATTTCATCCCAGAATTGGTCTGAGACAAAAAGTAAAACACATTCTAAATAACTTGTTTTTGACAATGCTTTATTTCACTGATGGTACCATGTAAAAAAGCTTCTTAAGAGATTTTATTTAAAAAAATTAACTTCACAAGATTTTGTCCACAGACTTTAAAGTTAGAAACACATATCTATTTACTTAGGTTCACCAGTGCTGGCGGGTCACTGCAACAGCATGTGGCACCAGATACGGCGGGCACATAACAGTCCCTCCCCCTGTGAGAGATAGACCACACCACCGGGGACTACTCCCCCTACTTTTTACGAACAGTGTGTGGTTCTTTAATGTCCCACAGAATTTATCAGTGCAAGGGTTGTGAGACAGGGCCTACTGTTTATTGTCCTTATCCAAGAAGACTAGAAAGTCTTATCATTTACAGATGTCTTTATAAAGACAGCACTTTCTGCTCAGTTATTTAAAGACCTTGGGTGTTGGTCTGGCTGGGGTTTGAACGAGTGACCTTCCACTTGGCAGAGCAGCACTTATTCAACTGAGCTAACAGGTGGTGGTTAGGAGAAAAAGAGTAATGGGGTCAGATCTCCTGCACACACCTCTGGGACCAGGGGAATGGTCCTCTTATGAGAGTCTGCCTACAGTGTATGGCTTCAGAGGTTAGAGATGCAGTTTTTAGATGTATAACTGGCTTGAGCAAGACCAGGTATCCACTTACAGGACTCATGTGTTTCCCTGACAGATATCCATTAACTCAGAAAGATTTTCCATTCTCATGTTTGAAATGTAATGATGACTGGCATTTTTAAGACTTCTAAACTGTAGAGCAAAATGTCATATAGTTGAATGCATGCACTCTAAGCTATATGTGCACTGTGAGAGTATCTACAAGAATGTTTTCAGACTAACATCAGCCGCAAAATATTACACCCTACTATAGCCCACAGCAAAATATGCCTCCTTTGCAGGCTATACATGTACATACTATTCATTATTTAAGAATATTCAGCCTGGGCTTAAAAAACATTAAGTTCACTCCATCTAAATAATTGTGTTTTACACTTGTACATTGTTTGGTTTGTGTGTTTTGTAGGTCTTAAAATGGGACAAAGTGACACTGAAAGTACCTCTTCATCCATGAGAGGAAATCCAGGGTCTCCACGAGACATTTCTGTTCTCCTAGATGAACCTAATATTGACATTCCAAGCTTTCATCACCTGGCACCAATATCACCATCAGCATCGACCTCATCGAGTGAAACCAGTGATCTTGATACCTCAGTTATAATAACAAACCAAACTCCCAAACGCCCAGAGATTCCTGTCATTGATCTCACATCACCTGATGGGGAGGGAGAAGAAGGCGCGGCAAGAGTACAGGGTGGGGCAGCAGCGGCAGTACCTGCACCTTGGTAAGAACAAAGCTACATTTATATAAGGTCACAATGGCTTGATGCAATGCTGGAAAGCTACTTATTAATTGCTGTTAAGAATATAGTTTAGACAGTTTAGAGTGGGGTGCATCCACACTATACATCTACATGTGACTTGAGAGGGGGTGTCACCAAGAACTGGCGACCGGATAATTGCTAAAAGTGAGCCTACCACTGCTTTAAATTGCCTTGGAAATTGTTTCATAGTACAATGATCTTGTGCACTTAATGTGTGATTCACGGAACACATGTATGTAACTTTGACTGATAGAGTGTAACTATCAGTAAACTTGTTTGGTTTGGCCTTCATGTAAGTATGCTGTTTAAGGCAATAAAATTGGGTTGATAATGTCGCTCTGCATTCAACCAGCCCTAAAGTTGTCAGTCAAAATTCTCTAATATTAAGTTCTATTTTCCTTTATGTTCAATCTATTGATCCTTCTCCTTCCCTTTCTTTCAGTGAGGACTTTGCTCAGTTTGCTCAAAATTTCCGTTGGCGCCTACAAGCTCGTGATCCCCGAGGTCAGCGTATAGCTTTAAATGAAAGCCGTTTACGTGCACGTCGATTACGAGGAAGGCATACCCCTTATTCAAGTTTATGGGACAGAGGTCCTTCACCTGGACCAAGACACGAAGCACTACTAGCTGAATTTGCTGACATTGCACCAAGGCCAAGTCTCTCCGGTGATAGTGCTTCTCCTATTGTCATAGATGATGAGGTAAAAAACGATGTTCATAATTTTATTTTGAAACTGATACATTGTTCTGGGGATTTACATGTAACTTACCTATAGGGCTACCACTAGGATTTCAAGTTGCCAGGCATTATACAATATTAGGGAGCAGGGAAAAGCAGGGCTCCAAAAAAAAAAACGTGAAGTCCAGCTTGTCCTTTGGTCAAGCAGCTCTCACATTTTGCTTGCACCAGACCACTTGTTGCTCATCTTACAGGGTTCATATGCATCCTTTTTCAAGGCCTAGAAAGTCCTTGAAATTCTCCTTCATTCATTTTGGTCCTTCAAAGTTCCTGAGTTTTGATTGAGGAACATTTTCAAACCTTCAAAAAACTTTGAAAAAGGCTAGTTTGAAGCCGACAGAATAAAATCAGCGTTGAGTAAATGAAAGTAAGGTATGGACTCTCAAACAAATTTTCATAAAAATGGTTGCCCTTTAGAACAAAAGCCCATTATTATCAGTTATTCAAAGTTTATTTGGAATGTGTGTGAAAAGTAACAAATTAGGTCCTTGAAATTTAAAATATTTTATTGTGGTTCTTGAAAGTCCTTGAATTTTATATAGGAAGAAGTGTTCGAACCCTGGTCTTATAGTTAATGATCTTGAACATTACAGGATGACCCTTGCCCATTGGGCAAGAAACCTTTTAAAGTTACTTGCCCAGCAAGAAAATTTGCTTGTCCCGGACTACCAGATGGGACTATTCGAGCCCTGAATTGAATAGCTAAGAAGTTCTTTTGCTCTTTTCTTTCATTTTGCTTCCTTCGAAAGAAGCTAGGGGTCATTCTTATAAAGTAAAGGGGCAACATAAGTCGGTCTGATAGAGTGGAATTGGTGGAGTAAGCCATCAGGCTAGCTCATTTTAGTTACGAATTGACTGACAGGCAAGCAACATTTGCTGTGATAAAGTACATGTAAGCTTTAGTGAATTGGGGTTGGTTCAATTAAAAGGTCACAAATTCAAAACAACTGGTGTTTCTTTTAATGGTAATTCCATCATGACATTTTGTGTGCTACACTGTTAAATAGTCACCAATTAAAACCATTTCTGAGAAAAATTCAAACTTTTCTTGTGGCCACCTATCAAACTTTCCCTTTGTGTCATGGGGTGGATTATATTATTAGGTGTATTGCATTTACCCCAAAACAGTCAAAACTTCCAACAGGAAAATATAACAGTTTCACAGAAAAAACAATTAACAATTTTTCCTCGAGTCCAAATGGGCTCTGAGTCAATAGCCCATGAGGCTGAAGGCCGAATGGGCTATTGACTCAGAGGCCATAAGGGCGAGAGGAATAATTGCTTTAGTAAAATCCAACTAGTTGGTCAAAAATATCAAGAATAAAAAACTTTTAGCTAGTTAAAGCTAGACTTTAATCCTTTTTTGCCGCCAAAAAGCGCGCGCTTTTCGCCACTATTGGGCTATAACATATAGCCTAGTAGTAGCTCAACCAATCAGAATGCAGCTTTGATAATAGACCACTAGTTGGATTTTACTAATAATAAATAGACTGTAATCACGTGCTCTCTCTAGACAGCTATTTTTATTAGATCAGAGTCCCAATACTCATGCTATTAATTTGTAACAATGAAAATAATTTTAGTTGTGTATATTCTAGGTACTTAAGGTGTCCAATATTATAGAGTTGTTTGTTCTGAGGGTTGACAGTACAGCTGTACATGTTCTTTAGCAGTAATTTTAGTATTTTACAGTGGGAATTTTTTGTATCTTTAACATTTGGTTTGGGAAAAAAAAAGTGTTAAACACCTTGCCCTTTTGTTAAGTTATTATGTGCTATTCTTTTGTTTTGTAGCGATCTGCTTTTGCTCAACACCACGTCCCTCCAAATGATGCTTCCAGCTGGTTTCTGTCTGATAGGCAACACCGCATGGAACGGTTTCGTCGTCGCCTCAGTGCTTCCCGGCAAGCTGCAGGAAGGTGCTTCCTTCAATCAGATGAAGCTCTTGCTCACAGACTTCAACAAGTAATTGACTTGTTCTTTATATTTAATTTATTGTTAACTCTTGTGTTGAGTAACAAAGGACATAAATTTACAAAGTTATGCTTTGAACAGAATGATAATTAAACAATGAAGTTCACTAATCTTTGCATTTGAGGACCTTATTTACAGACTAAAGACACTGAATAGCAATTTAAAGTAGTCCTTAAAAGTTTCATTTAAATAGTCACACCGCAGGATGTTTTCACACCAATAAACTTAAAGGAAAAAGTGACGAACAGCTCCCCCAAAAAGCTGTTTGCTGACTTATCAGCCAACTGTTGGCCGGCAGTTTGTCAACATTTTGCTGACAGTTGGCCAACAGTTGGTGTTAGAGTGATCTTGTAAAGCTTAAAACAGTAATAAGTACAAAGCAGATCTTTGCAGTTCAAGATACAGTTGCATTTGCAAGGTTTTTCTTTGAATTATTTTACTTCTTCATTCCACAGTTCCAGTATAATTGTGAAATTCATTTATTCGTTATTTCATTATCAAACAGTATTTGCATAAAAACAAATCACATGGTTTAAGAATCACTATAATCTTATGTTGGCCCATCACAGTTTTATAACTATTTTTTATTTTCCTTTTTAGGCTGAATATGCTCAAGAAGTAGAAGAGCATAATCAAAGTATTAGAGACGCAACTCAACCCGCTGCAGCCAGAGCTGGAGCATTGCATGCATTTCCAACTACAATGGTAAATACAGTACACTAAAAACTTACTTTTGTATTTTCTTCTCTTCTTGTACACTACAGCTGTATGTGTTCAATGATCTAACCTTTACATGTAATGCATTCTTTTCTAAGGTCTTTGCACAGTTGTACATGTACATACATGTAAATGTATGTTAACTATCATCCCTAGAACCCCAAGATCAATATTCAAAATTTAAAAAAGTGAAATACATATAGTATTTACTCAATTAAGTGCTGAGGCACTTTTTAAATTTTTGGCACCTCCAGTACTGTGCTTAGTCTAGGGTGGCGCTTATTTCAGGGCGGCATTTATCTGAAATTTGGATGCAACAAAGAATCATATGAACTTCGGTATTATTATATTGCGTAGTAAACTAACAGAATTAACATCTCTAGATTTTGATTATATCAGGGCCACGTCGCTTATTTGGGGGCGGTGCTTGTCTTCTTTTTTTCTCCCAATTGAAGCACTTATTCAAGGGCAGCTCTTAATTTGGGGCAGTGCTTGTAGCAATTGAACTTCCTTTGTAAGACAATCCTCTATTATAGAAAGCTATAACAAACTTAACACAGTCACTTCAAAATAACTATTAAGACACAGCTCTATTGCAGACAGTTATGCAAGCCCCAAAGATACTAAACAAGCCTTACCTGTATAATCTGGACACTCAGCTTTATTATGGACAGGTGTCACATTCAAATAACCCCTGTCTTTAATAAGAACACCTCTGAAAATGCATACCACAGCTAAGTTCTGAAAGCTATAGCAAACTTAACACAATCGCTTCAACTATTAAGACACGGCTCTATTACAGACAGTTGTGTAAGCCCCAAAGATAATAAACAGGCCTTTCCTCTATAATATGGACACCCAGCTTTACTATGAACAAGTGTCACAGTCAAATGGCATCAATCTTTATCTTTTTCCACCTTTTTAATGAGAACACCACGGGAATGCATACATATGCAGGCCTGTGCCCTAGGAGAGCTTGGTGGCCCCCGGCGCCTAACTTTTGCTGCTGGGCGACTGTAAAATCTTTGCTTTTTAATACAAATCATATGCAGGGCACTCCTACTAAGACTTTAGTTCAGAGCACTAGGCTCCCTTCATTCTTCTTTGGAGCACATCCTTACATGTATGTGATTTAGCCCCTTTAGCTGCCAAATTAAAAGTAAATTTCGACCAAATATCCAAATTTCATTTTATTAAAAACATTAATAGCACCATCTAAAAGTACAGGCAGAGAGGTCAATGATGATCAAATTTCATTTTATTAAAAAATTTAGAGACATTAAAAATCTCATCTAAACTCATTAATAATTCATTAAGTACAAAGGCAGAGGATTCATATGAATGATTTGCATCACAATTTCTCCTTCAAAAATGATTTTGTTTGAGAAGAAATATCAAACATTCCACAGACTCAGAATTTAGAGACACCTTAAAATCTCCATCAAGAACTCTGGCAGTGAAAGGGTTAATGATATATTACATCAAGAACTCTGGCAGTGAAAGGGTTAAGACATACGGGTACTAAACAAGCCTTACATCTTACATATGGACACCCCACTTTATTATGGACAGGTGTCACTGTCAAATGACACCTACAGTGTATCTTTATCTTACTTCACCCTTTTAATAAGAACACCTCTGAAACGCATGCAGACATGACATGAATGCGATGTATTTTTCTCTGCCACAGCTAAGTGGTCTGAGGCAAATAATAAAATGTTTGACTTCAATGTTTATGTTTTGCTTTTCTTTAGTCTCAGAATTTTTATGCTTTTTTTGTAGCATCAGCCATCACCATTGCAGGTGAGACGTAGGCGTCCATTCCATGCGCCGTTTGCAAGTCAAGGATTACCAGAACTTTTGCTTCCTTTTGTGTAAGTTCCTTTTTAAAGTTTATTACAAACACTTGGTGATCCAGACTGTTGCACAATTATTGGTTTGTTGACTTTTCTCTTGATTGTCAGTTAAGTGGTACATAGTACTATGTTTTCGGACCTCACTAAAAGTAATTATTTTCAATCATTAATATTTAAACGTGGCTGAATGAAATTTAGTCAAATTAAACTCAAGACATGGCTGTCAAGCTGTGTTGTCGGAGATTTGCATGCAGGCCTTAATCACGTCACAGGTGCTCAAAGCTTTTGAGGTCCCAGGCCATTACATTGGTGTGTCATTGCCTGTCATGGTTTGTGCCTGCAAATGTTTTTCTGCTCCCTGCCCTCCCCCCCCCCTTGTGGTAAGTATATGATAATTATGTTAGGTTCCACTGGTTAGCAGTGTGACAGTACCTGGGTGGATGCCACTCTCAGGGTTGTCAAGGTTACGCATTGCTCTCAGCTATAGTTCTGGGCCCTACCACCATCACAGCCATCTCCCCCCATGCTCATCTATGATGATGAGTTTAATATTAAATGATACAAAATTAATATTTAATGTATAATAATTTATGATTAGTTATTTTGATTGAAGGTATTCCTTGAAATAAAAGTAAAAATATCTGCATTGATTTTCTAGGTCTGTTGTGTCTTTCCCTCCTCCTCCGCTTCATCACTATGGCGATTCAAGCCCAGGGCACTCAAATGAAGGAGAGGATTATGAGGTAAAAGAAACAACATCAGCAACTTATGAAAAACATAAAGTGTTATGTGAGTTGACAGTTGGTGCTCATAAACAGAAAATGTATTCTGGGTGTTATAAAAAGTCACAAGATAAATATCCAGTCTGCAAAATAGAATGCCTTTCTTGTGGGTTTACTTTGAGTCATTTTTGAAAACATACGATACTTATGTAATATAATATATTTTGTGCCAAGATTCACAGAAAAACCTTAAGAGGAATTTTAAGATGTCTTGAAATTTTCGTGCATGAACCAAAGGCTGGTATGCTCAGTGCAAAACCAGCTAATCGCCTTGAAAAACCAGGTTTTCTGAGAGAGCTTGGGACAGAATTATTTTTAAGTTCTTATGTCTTGTATGTCTTGCAGGCTCTGTGGAATCTTAGTGAAAGGATAGGATTAGCTAAGGCTCGCGGACTCAGCAAGGAAGGTATGTGTCATTTCAGTCATTTTATTCTCTATACATAAATAAAGAGAAACCCTGATATCCACATACAATTTCTCCAGACTGGTATGTATATGTTACCTCAAAGAACTAGTCAAGAGAATTTGGTTAAAAATCAAAGCTTTTGCCCTCAGGGGATCCCCTAACACTTTCACTGCCAGAGTGCTCGATGGAGTTTTGTAAGGTGACTGTAACTTTTGAGTCTGTGGACGAAATCGTATGATGTGGCCATTCAAATGAAAGCTCACTACCTATACTTACACAGGGTGCTATTATTTTGTTTTTCAAAATTTCACAAAATGAAATTTGGACATTTGGTTGAAATTTGCTTTTGGCTAAATTTGGCAGTGAAAGGGTTAATCAATTCGCATAGCCTTTTCTCTTGATTGTATATGGATACTGTTGGGAGAAAATTGGGACATAAAGGGTTAAGGTTTGAAAACATAAAGTGCAGAAACCTAAATTTTTCACCTGATTTTTGTTTCAGTGATAGACAGCATTCCATCGTTCCGCTACAGTGCCAGCTCAAAAGATTCCTCGAACGGTAACTGCGTGGTTTGTATGAGTAATTACATCAACAGGGAAAAACTGCGGCGGTTACCTTGTAATCATGACTTCCACGCCAAGTGCATTGATCGGTGGCTAAAGGTGAGGTCATTTTTTAATAAATATTATCTTATAAAAAAGAAAGTTGCCAAAAATATTAAGAGCGCAGAAACAAAACTGCAGTCGACTCCCGATAACTGGAATGCGAATCTCTGCTAAATCGGACAAAAATCGAATTCACCTAAGCTAACTCTTCAGTTTAAAGGCTCGGGGTCATAATGCTGCCATGCTTTTAAAACAACCAAATTTTCATTTCGTGGTGTACTAATTCATATTATTATTACTATTATTATAATTTTCAGAACAATCGCACTTGCCCAGTATGTAGAGAAGAAATCATAGAGTCTTGATGATGGCGCTGTTTTTTTAGACAAGCATTAGTTGTAAATCAGTAGCATTTGTGGTGTTTAGAAGCCTTATTTGTTAGTTACTCTGCATTGAAACTATGTTCTGTGTCTAAGGGAGGCTATCTTTTATCAGGCATATTTTTTCAGTTAGGCTTAGGAAAACAATTTATTTGGAGCATTTATAGAATTATCATCGATTCTCAGCTAATGCTTGCATGTAGCACCTTTAAAAACCTCACTAGTCGATTCAGCATTTTACTAGTTTAAAGTTGATTGTAACTTCAGGTTTCTGCTGAGGGACTGGAAGTGAACTAATTTATGGTTATGTTTAAAAATCTTTATAGGAGTTCAATATTCTAGGTTTCAGTCTAAAACATTCTAAACGTGAGTTTGTTACATCCATTCAAGACACAAACGTTTCAGTTTGTCATTAAGGAACGTATAACAGTCGTTTTGGGCGTGAATCACCAATTTGTGAGACTGCGTGGAGAAGCTATGTCATTCTAGACAGGGCAAATTTGCTATACCCTCTCTATTAGAAAAAGTGGGTTTGAAATATTATTACTTTTAATGCAGCCACATCTTTTAAAAACAAATTTGTTTTGCGTAATCATATGACCAAAAATACTTTTTTGTTACCTTCCTCGCTGTTTTTGCTACAAAATCTCGATAAGCATGACCTAAAAATAAATATCCTTAAATTTGACGTTGAATGCAAGTGCTCTTTTCGGCTGTAGAAGGTTATTTTGTTCATGGCCAATCTGGACTTCACAAAATCGCTTTGAATTGCAATGTGTAATGGAAATTGCTTTTACACACACTGTCACCTAAGAAATTCAAATAGAAAATCATTTTGAAAATTTACCAGGCAGGGGACCTTCATATAAATAGTTAAGGAATAACTTTGAAATTGCATCTAGGGAGTTTAAGAGCTTTCGCTGTGTATACACTGAGGAGCCTGACTATCGCTGCTGCCCGCATGTAGTATAGCTGATTAAATACTTGATTGAAATTAGTAAATCTGTACATATTATTTAAAAGAGCTGAAGTATATACGTGTAACGATTGCATTTATTATATATCAAAGCATTATTCATGGTATTAAACACATTTCTACGAAGTTTAACCCTTGTTTTCAATTTGGATTCTTCGAGGAAGAGTTTACGTGTTCGCACCACGTGGCCGAGGGGGGGGGGCTACTCAACAAAGTTTAAATCGGGGAGGCTCCACCGCTTACCACTTTGACTGAAGAGGTACCCCTTTCGTACAGTCGACTCTCTCTTAACGGACACCTCTGTAAAACGGACTTTTAGAGGTGGTCCCTGCCATTCTTTACTCCTTTTATTTGACTCTCTATAAGACGGACACCTCTCTAAGATGGACACTTATTGCCGGTCCCAAAGGTGTCCGTCTTTGAGAGAGTTGACTGTATTACCTTCTATTGACAAATGGTGCCTCTTTCACATACCTAGTTTATAACTTTGCAGCCTGTTTTAATTGCTATAAATGCACCGTCTTATATGATTAAAGCACAAAACCATAACGTTCTCTCTGGCCATTACATGTAAGAGCCACGAAATCCCAAAACCTTGTTGATAGGTCGAGCACTTCGCGTCTTCTTTTCCAGATGCAAAATATCAGATTCCAAAGTTCGGGCATGCGCAGAAAGTAAGCTTTTGGCTTTAAAATTGGCTTTTCGTTTTCTTCCTTCCCCTGTACTTTCGCTTTTCTTGTCCCATTTTTTTCTTTTGCTGGAAATTTTCTAGGCTTCATTTCGGTGGGAAAAGTTTTGGGGAAAGCTTTAACGGTCGTAGGATTTGATGTAAGATGACAAAGACGTCCTTGTCCGTTTTTAATGATGACGTCACAAGCGGTACGAGGAACGTGGAACAGAATGAGCCAATCTTCAGTTGCAAGCCAAACCTTGCCGATGACAAACTGAACTGACAATCAAGTTAACCAATCTCATTATCAAGTATATCAATACAGCGGCCGCCCAGGCAAAGGCGCGGGAAAGCGCGTACGGTCGAGACATGATTATTTAACAATTATAAAATAACTAAGATAGTACGCGGGCTCTGATTGGCCGAGAGGAGTGTTTGCATGAGAGTATGTAAAAAGTTTTCGAGTTGAAAACTCCACAAGTTTACTTTATTTTCCCATTCCTTCGTCGGCTGAAACTTGGAAAATCGTTACAAAGAAGGTGTGTCAGTTTTTCTTCGCTTAAGCTGAAATTTTAAGCTAGAAAAATACGTATTTTGGAAAGCATCTTTTTGCAAAACAAGAAATGATTGCGCGTGCAAGACTTCGTGGACGAGACTTTGCGACTGGTAAGAATTCTCTTTTAATCAGTGCCTAACAAAGAGTTTTGCGTTTTTTCTCGGGAAAGTTATTTTATAAAAGCAATAGAAAACTCTTTTCCTGTGTTTGCATAGCCTGATATAAGCACTCGAGGCGTTGGGAGAATTCTCGACAGTTATGCAAACCGTCGACGTCTTCTCGGGTTTGCATAACTGTCTCGAATTCTCCCAAGCCCTCTCGTGTTTATATCAGGCTATGCAAACACGTAAAACGTTTTCTACTGCTTAATTAATGCGGCTGAGGCGGATAACACCCTCCGAGATCTCCATAATTCTTCATATGATACGAAAGCCGAATTCAACAATTGTTTTATTATTCATATCATTCAAAATAAATCCTAGTTTAAAAACATAGCTAAGACATGCTTACCTCCATCGACGTTAAGTTCATCTTCGATAGTGCACGTTTAGGGTTGTTCAGCTCCGCAAATATTCTCCAAATAGCAGATGTCGCCCTTCGAGTTGTCTTATTGCTGTTCTTGCCATGTTTTTGGCTATTATTTCGACTAGCTAGTTCTTACTTTTGAAACGAGTGAAATGTCCGCCACTTTTGTTTTCACAACCAAAGCAACTCAACCTCGTCCCCAGGTCTTCTCGGTTAACGGTGCATTAACCTGCAGGCAAGCTGCACTTTTGACGTCATCGGTTGATTAATCGCAAATTTCTTCCAAATTTGGTCATCAATAACACGTTATGGTGAATTATACGTGTGCTTTTGTTCAATCAGAATCGGGGAAATATTTTGAATGAATAATAATATAGGTTAACTTCCCATTGATGATATATACCTTAAACTTGCACTTTTAAGCCTAGGGCTTATACAACTTCGTAAGGGTTTTTGGAGGGCTTATATCCGGGGGTCTTATAAGATAGGATAAGATAGAATAACTCTATATAGACACGGTTAAGTCCTTCAGGCAATTACAAGGAATGAAAAAAGAAAGAAAGTAGCAACTAATGGAAGCGAGGCAACGCAATACAAGAGGACAACAATTTAAAAGCGGAGTGCCATGCCTTTATTCGTGAAGAAATTCAAGAGACAATACTGCAAAACGAGTGTTTTTTAATCCAATAAAACAAGCTCATGAGTTTTCACAAGGATTTACAGGGCTCAAAATAACTGCCGGTCAACGGGCAATGTCTGGCCGGAATGGCGATATGACCGGCCACGAACTTCACTAGTCAGTCTTGTTGACCGGTCACTAACTCTAATTCTTGAAAAATAACCAAATCCTTACCTGCAAATCTCAGATTTTGTCTCCGTAAAAATAAAATCACTCATTTACTTCGTGTACGTACTGGACACAGATGACGTAAAACAAAAAAACAAAATCCATGAAACAATACCAAGCAGATTTTTCCCCGCAACAAAAAATAAAGAGGGCTTTTGTTTTACCTCATCTGTGTCCGGTACGAAGTTTTGACCTAAAATCACGTTCACAAATAGGAAATTACATATGGATTAGTTAACTTTTTTTCCAACATTTTGATCGGTCAGACACGAGACTTGACCAAGCAAACATTTCTTTGGCCGACCATCGTGTCCGGCCGCCATCCGAAATTATTTTGAGCCCTGATTTACTGCTCTTCAGTAGATGACTAACCTACAAAACACTTGGTCTGTTGCACAGATAAACTGGCGTTAATTCTCGCAGACCTGACTCTTAATTTAATGGATTCAACGCAATGATTTAAACGCTGTAGTTTCCTGTCGTTAGAACGTTCACTAGTTACTGACTGACAATCAGCTGGAGCTATACTAGCTTAGCCGCACTAGTGTGTATACCCTTGCATGTAGCAACCCACTATCAACAAATAGAATGGGGGGAGGTACTGATTGCGAATTCCCGATTTTCTATCCAAGATTTTGGCGAATGCCGCAACATATTTCGGTCAAGTCCCGGTTCCCGAAAAAGACTAGTTCCAGATCCTGTACAAATCATTCCCGGTTGATGTGCTTGCGCGCTCACTACAACTCTGTTTGCATTACATGTTCCCGACAATATGCATCTCTTCAGTATTTTGACAAGGCTAGATGCATTGTTTGGATCCCCTTTAGGGACTGTATCATGAATCCCCATTACAACTAGTGTGCCTGATCATCCCTTGTGTTGTGAAAAAGACCTGTTTATGCAACTTCCGCGGGCTAAAAATTCACTAAAGGAATTTTTAACCAGTGAAAGTTACACACACAGTCAGCTTATGGAAACGTGTTTCACTGAGACGGATTAACTGATAGAATGACTGACTATAATGCCTCTCAACAGAACTCTTTATGTCCCTGAATAAATAAGGGATAGGTCTAACTGGTCTGACAAACTGGCGGTCTGACTGACTGACTTATTAGGAGATTACTGAGGGACCTTACCATCTAACAACGACGACGCCAATGAAAACGTTGTCGAAAAACAGACTTCGCATCCTTTCAAACTTTTTCACGATTATCTCAGGTCACTCAATTACTTAAAGGAGCGAAATTAGGTTGGGAAGAAGGGAACGCGTCCGACCAGTTCAAAGAGAATGAGTAAAATTTATCGTCTTTTCCCCCCGTTCTCAAGTCAACTTAAAGTTTGGTCATTTAACGTCGTAATTTTTGCAGGGACGGCAATGAAATTTATAAAATTGAAAATAAAGTGTGCTGGTACTTGCAGAGTGATTGTTTTCCGATCTTATTACAAACTACTGTTTTTTTGACGTTCCCGTCGTAGTTGCGTAAGGACTCTGTTTCTCCTTAGGTTCCTAAATTTTCTCAGTCCTCTTCCTAAAAAAGTCCAGAGTTCCCATTGAAGAAATCCCGTAAAAAGGACAAAACATCTACACAAGATTTTTTTTCCTATGGCGTAAGCGCTCTTCCACTGTCAATCTTCCCGCGCGTAACGTAATTTCCGGTAAAAATGCACTTCCGGTTCGCTCTTACAAATAAAAGAAAAAAGAAAAAAGGCACAAGAAATAATCCTTAACAGTCTCTATTTAGCAACGACGACGACAACGGCAGAGAAAACATAATTAGCGCTCAGTATTCCAGCTCGCTTAAAATGCTAAATGTATGTCAATTTTCCTAGAGTTGAATTCTTGGGGACCGCACTCATCTTCAAGGAGGAAAAAAATTGTCGTCGTCGGTTCACGTTACCCATAAAAAGTCGCCTAAGGAAATTTAGTGGTCGTACAGGGACTGCAAAACAAATGTACAAAAAAAGTGTACTACAAGTACAAAATTGTTTCTTTGCTTATCTAACTATTGCTTTTTTGACGTTTTCGTTGCCGTCACCGTCGTCATTGCTAATTTAGGCTATACCGCTGTAAAATAACTGAAGTGGCAAAATACAGTGAAAAACATGACATTAGGAAAGTGCGGTGGTGTGTCGATCGCTAGGAGAGTGAAAAACAAATATGTAGTCACAGTTATTAAATTAATGTAAATTAATCACTTAAAAAGATTTTAGAGGTGACGTTACGAGCGCTAGTCCTTTGTCAGAGCAAATCACTGACTGACTGACTGCTGACTGACTGACTGCTGACTGACTGACTGACTGACTGACTGGCTGGCTGGCTGGCTGACTGACTGACAGCTGACTGACTGACTGACTGACTGCTGCATG